TTTTTAAAACACTCATTTGGTTCGCTCCACAATATTGGTATAATAATTCTACACCATTGACGGTTTACGAGTGCACATGAAAATAAGCTTTTATGATTAGACCGGAGGTTATTAAATATTTGAAAGAAGCATTCATATGGTAACGTTATCATACTGAAAAACGATCAAAATTTTAGTACGTACGTACGTACGTATGTACACAGTTTTACTCCTGACACATATATAATCAGAATAAATGTTGCAAAAAAAAGCCAAAATCGGAACTTGAAGTGCGTGCGCAACCATGTGATAGAAAGCTTTCATATGATTGGCTACCTAATAAAACTTTATATATTTTTTATTCTTTGTAGGTTTATTTTTTTAAAAAAGTACTTTATTTTTAAAAAAGTACTTTAAGGGTAGGGTGAACGTAGATCATTTATCATATGATCTCACGTGCTAAAAATTTTTTATACAAAAATTGAGCATATGCTATTAGTAAAACTTTTTAAGGCCGCAACTAAACTTTACCAAAACTTCATAATATATAGATTAAAACTTTTTTCTTTATGATAATAAAAGTTTTGGTCATTATATCATTTAAAAAAAATCTACCTCCATATATCGTTAAATTCTCCTAGGTCGATTGAAATTTGCCTAGGTAACACAAAAATTACTAATTCTTATTGGTCGAATTTCTATTGTTTACAGTTCTGATTGGTCAAATCAATGTAAATCATATGATATCATATGATTTGCAATGTGATTACTATTAAACTAATCACATGAAGGTTGTCCTATGTACTCGACGAAACAAAACAACATAAAAACCTCAAAAAAAAGGCAGACAAAACTTATAGCACTGATCTTAATCCTAACCTCAAAATTCTAATAAATTAGATTATAAGCGCACACTCAAAATTTAGGAATGATAAAATTGACTAACGGATAAAAATCTAAACATTTTATCAATATTAATAGAAATTGTACTTTACAACTAATAATTAAAATATAGCAGACAGGGTAATAATATATCGTTGCCAATTAAATCAGATTCCAACACATAAGAGTAGCTCGTATGTAGACAGAAGCCGTAATAAGCTAGCACTACAAATTTCTGCATTGTAGAATTGACAACAATTAAAACATAGCATGTGTAGAAATTACATTTTGATGTATTATAAATCTTTAAGGGTTTCGGAATTAGAATGTGGAAATCTGATTTATTCAGGCCTAAGACGAACTTTTTATTATATTAAAATGTTAATGTCCACGACTCAGAAAATTTCAATGCTAATTGCTGATCGTAATCAGATGAGCATTTGGACTGAATGAAAATTTATAGTGATCTAGATACTTCTTGGTATTCACCCGGCGGCGCTCAAATAAACGTCTAACCCCCATAATACAGGAATATTGGTCAAAAAACAATAATAAATGACGCATTCTATACGTGAGATTCATATCCAAATTATAATATAAGTTGTGGGTTTAGTAAATTTGATCTTCAATCACATTTATCTTAAAGAAAACATGTATTCAAATTAAGCGGTAATGGTAGATTAATTTACTTCTACAAGTTCAATTTAACGTTAGGTATTCGTTATGTAATCAAGGTTTAAATCTGGAAGAATGAAAGTTAAAAAAACGTATTTAGAGTAATAAGCGTAACTTAGAATACGCGTGTATGCGTTATTTGAGGTCATAACATATATACGAATACATTGATCAGGCAAGCGTGTTATTTTGGGACTCACATGGGCGGCATTTTGAAGCCACGCAAGTCATGTTTAGGTAATACGATTTTCTAAATAACACTCAAGCATTATTACGTGATAATGCGGTATATTTCTTTTGACAAACTCTGCAAACTTCGGCATAATATCTAAGATATCGCACTTTGAGTGAATAATCTTAACCAATAGAAATTCGGTGCAAAATAGTACGTATTTGCATTAAGAAACGTGCAATTGGTTTGAATCACCTTAAACCAATCAAATAATGTGCGAAAATTTAAAATCTTGGGAATAATATGAACTAATATCAAGGTAGGGTGGGTTATACCAATTTTTGCAATAAATTTTTATTAGTCATCGATGGATTTCTAAAAGCCCGTTACAACTAATAAGAATAGATACATATACTGGGAGGTTATATACAGTAATTGTTTTATGTAGTGTCTGGGCTAGAGATGGGCACTAAGTGCATCATGCTATGCTTGCTTGCTTGATCTCATAGGAGAACTTTTGTCTGATTGGCTGATATAAATCAATTGCCCGGGTACTTTTTTAACCTGCAACGTTTCACCATTTTGTCTATGAAAAAAAATTTTTTTCATAATTGACTTCAGAAGAGAGTTGCCTTCGCTATGCAAAATAATCACAAAATAATCATAAAAACAAAAAAACTTAAGAACAAAGATGACTAGGTGCATTACAGAAGGTTTTGAAAGTTTATTATTAATACGCACTAATTTTCAAATTTTAAAACGGATAACGGATTAGTACATAGCCATTACAGTTACAAGTCATTCTTATACAGTTGACCCTCGTTAGTATCAACCTATCTTGATCACCTTTATTCATGTTGATAGTGATATTAATGAGAGCTTATATTAAAGTTGATATATATGAGGGAATTTGGTATATAAAAATTTGTTTTGTGGCTTAGGTTGATATTACCGCGCTTTTCAAATTGCTGTGTCCACTGATTTTCATGCATCACACTGGGAATCAGAAATCTAGAAAAAAATGCCAATACGTGATTGGCTAAAAATTATTTTTAACCAATCACAGATTTGCATTTATTCTAGATTTCTGATTTCCGTTGTGGTGTATGAGAATCAGTGGACACAGTAATTTGAAAAGCGCTGTAATGCAGGTTGATATTAATGAGGGACAACTGTATTTGGTAAGTTACCGATAGGTTTAAATTCAATATAGTTTTATAATGCCTTATGATTTAACTGATTTAAAAGTTAATGAACTTGAAATCATCTGAACAAGTAAAATGCTTTTTCAAGAAAGCCTTAGAAATTAAAGACTTTGCTATATGAAAATTCATTTAGATTAAAAAAAAAAAAAAAACAATCCGACCCCCGATCGAAATTTCGAATGACATTTAATGCAAAACGAAAAATCATTGTGTAGCCTTAGTAATTTAAGTACTGTTGAATTTTTAAGAAGTTTTTCTGACCGAGTTTGATAAAAATTTTTTATTTTAATTATACGAATGTGGAGAAATAAATAAAAAATTTTCATTCAATTTGGTTAGGAAGTTATCGAGTAAACTTCTCTCAAAGTTTTAAAAAATTTAGAAACATTTAATTACTGATAGACGAATCAGTTCTTTCTAAAATTAAGCGAAGCTTCTCGATAACTATCTGAAAAAATTCGATATCGGTTTTTTTTTTTTTTTTTAATTCTACATATTCATAGAATTAAAATAAAAAAAAATTCATTGAATTTGGTCAGGTAATTATTGTTAAAAAAAAGTGCTAAAAGTTTACATGTATGCTAATTTTGATTGGTCAAGCATGCTTGGATGAACATTAAGTATGAAGTAATCTGTTGCGCAAATAGATGGTTCAGGGCACAGGGGTGTGGTTTCAAATTGTAACATGGAAATAACTAGATATTATTGATTTTTTTCACGTGATGATTTAGCATCGCATGCCCAATGTGATGATTTCCCGTGCCCTACTTTACTCTTGAGCTAATTGTAGTTTAAGATCAACTTTTCGGTGGTTGAGAGGTTACAATTCGGATCATATATTCAAATCAAATGATACCGAACCTGGTACTTTGTATATAACGTGATGAAAAATTACATGAAATTTAATCTTCTGAAACTTACATAAATTACATGTACGTAAAATTGTAAACTCCAAACTATGATATAACGTACAAGCCACTCCCAATGTAAACTGGTGTTTGTAGTACTCCATTAACGCCCTACTATTAAGAGTCGACTAATTCAATTTTTCCAAAAAAGACCAACTTAGCCGGCTAAAAGTGTTCTCAAGAATATATTGGAGGCGAATTTTTAATCAGTCGGAAATTGAATAAACAAAACAAATGAATTACCATTTCGAAAAATAAAATCTGAAAGTATAGTCCATCTTTTTTGCATAGAGTTGTTCTGATTGGCTAAAATTTAGAATTCGCATTCACACAATAAAACTTTAACAGTCATCCTTCGATTAACCTCATTAACCACTCAATTAATTGCAATAATTTGAGCAAATCTCGATCATTATCTAATCACATTGAGGGAGCTGTTTGAGAACATCCTAAGTCGACTAAATCAAATGACCCTATAATACTACATAGAACCTATGTGAAACACTAAGTGGAGCGACTGACTCGCCAAGACTTTATGAATATTGCTTCAAGCATGTGATACAAACATTTGATAAAGGGTGACACATTGTTCTTTTTATAGTTGGGTCACAATATTACGTATAATGTTTAAATTTCTTTTTTAAGTAATAAAAGTAGTACATATTGGGGCTACAATGAGCATTAGGATTTTCTTTTCCGTCAATAATGGTAAAAAAATAAAGCGCATGTATACAATAAAAATCCTTAGACCAAAAAGTACCAATACAAACCGTTATTCTATTAAAGTTACAGAATTTGTTTACTTCGTAGTTCTTCAAAGTGAGAATAGTTGGTCTATTTACTTACAGAATGATGGAGAACTTTGTCCGATATACATTTGACATATGCACGCGTGACTTTATTAAAAATACGTGATGTGACAATGTAACTTCGGTACTATCGTATATAAAGAAGCTCTGAGGTGTAAACTACTACCACGGAATTAATCAATTAACTCTTTCTTTTTTAAAAGAAAGAACGACAATTAATATATCCCACCGTTTTTGTTACATACAATTATTTTCTTCGCTTTTTATTATATAAAGAAAATCTAACGATAAACTAACGTTATTAGTTGTATCTTATCTTGTAAAAGTTGGTTCATAAAGTTTTTAAAGTCATAATCTGTTTAAAGTAAAAATGCAACAACAAACATACAACGGACTACCACCAGAATATATCGAGAATCGCGCAGAGCGCAAAATTGGTGGTTGGCATATATATAATGGATATAATTTTGCTAATTTGAAGGTTAACGAATTGAGTCTCAAGATTCGAATGGGTAAGTTTTGCACCTTTGAAAGAATTGTAAAAAAATAACCATTTCTTTATATTACACGCAATTGGGATTAATCATTCAACATTTCCGTTAATAGCATTCGTGCGCAAAGTTTTCTCGATTTTATTCGCACAAATCTCCTTGTCAACCGCTGTGGCTGGATTGATGATGCATAATAGCAGTATTAAATCTTGGGTTCAATCACAGTATGAAATTTCTATTAAATAATAAAAAAATCTATATATGGTTTAAAGAGAATGCTAACATGTAAAATTTGATAATATTTATTTTTTTTAGTGGCTGGGTCATTTATATCGTTTTTTTCTTGACATTCGCTCTTTTATTCGCCCTTCAAGCAAATCACCGTTCTTATCCTACAAATTTTGCTCTGCTCGCTGCTTTTACGCTTGCAGAAAGTTACACAGTTGGTACTGTTGGTTAGTATCAGAATCAAGCATTGAATAATTGATTTCTTTGATAAAAACTTTAATAATAATTTTAATAATCTAATTTATCTTTACTTAAAGTGACCTATTACGATTATAATGCTGTACTGAGAACCTTAATTGTCACATCTGGCCTTTTTATTGGTATTGTATTGTATACCCTGCAATCTGAATATGATTTCAGTGGAATGTTTCCTCTGTAAGTTTCATTAATCATTTCATTCCTTCATTCCTTTCATTTTTTTGACGAATTGTCTTTTTTACGAGTTCTTCTAATATCCTTGTTTAAATCACAGACTCTATAACAGTCTTTTGCTTATTTTGGGAATAAGCATTGCTGGAATCTATATTCCATTCAGCGGTATCTTTGATTTTATTTTTACTATAATCTGCATTATTATATTTTGTGGTTTTGTTGCTTTCGATACTTTCACTGTCATGACAACAAAGCATCCTGAAGAATATATTCTTGCTGCCGTTGAACTTTATTTGGATTTTATTAACCTATTTCTCAGAATTCTCAAGATTTTGAATAATTCCCGTAGAGATGATTAAAAAAAATTACATCTCAAAATTTTTAGAATATTGATTACTTGCCCGTCCGTATATTCTTTGTCATTCATTATTATGTATACAATATTCTTTTATTATTATCATTATTATTGTAGAATCATGATCTTTTAAAGATTGTGTCCATGTTTAAATACTCTAATTATAATAAATTATTATGTATGCGTATATATATTGAACAATGACCTTTTCATAATGTTCTTTTTGTACATGATTATTTGCACTTTTTTTTTCTAAATTTATGACATAAAATGCCTGATTGAAATATGTGGCTATTTTGGGACACAATTGTATTACAATCGATTCAAAGAAACGTTAATATAAAATTATCACGCGTACCTAAATACCGTTACAGATAATTCGGGGGTTTGGACAACAGTCACATTTTTTTCGCTTTGATCCATGGGAGATATCTGCTCGTATAGAAATCTTATTGTGAGCAATAGATGTCAGGTAACACATGATAGTTGACTCCAGGTATTACGATAACATGTATAGTATAGTTTTTTTTTTTTTTTTTTTTACGGTTTATAGAATGACCTCATTGGTCGGGGTTTTCCCTTTATTAAAGTATCTACAGTCCGTATTTTACGGAAGGGTTTACAGTAACATATCAACGAGGGTACAATAAGCCACACGTACAACTTTAGTCATTGTCTATTTAAGGGTTCCGCCCGTAGGTTCCCCACTCATTGCCATACCTAAGACCCGCTTGTGGGTCCCCTATTTAAACTCTCTGATTTTCAATGTTCTTCTGCTCACGTGATCTTTAATTTAGGTACTTAGTCCAACCTTCAGGCTACTTTACCCGTGAGGTAAATTCTACCGAAGGAGGTAGCTCCTACAGCCACACCTTATCCAGATTTTATTGTGCCAGAGGTGATTCCATATCAGGTAAGGCCAATCCTTTCCACAAACATCGGCGACATTCTTCACATTTCTCACTATGTGCCCGCACTCTGCCATACCGGTTTCCTTCTGGGAATTCCTTAAACCAAACGTGTACCTTCACATGAACTTCCACAGGGCTTTGTATACGATTATAGGCTCCTTTTTAGGTTACAGAGTATTCTACCTCCAGCCAAACTCGAACCGTCAACCTTGTCTGTGGGGGAATGGGAGCTTATCCATTAAGCTATGGGACCCGAACTCCCGTGTATAGTATAGTTGGTCAAAGGAATATAGTATACAATATTTTTTTATGGAATGTATATTTTTCATATCTGAAATAAATTTAGAGTGTCGCCAGTGCAATGCATCGCAATCAGGATGCAGGATCAAGTGTAATGTGAGATTGTGATTTTTTTAAAAAATCATTTCCAACTTAAAACTTTTTCCTATGAAACTGCCCTTTTTATTCTAACAAAAAAATTTCCTTGCGAAATTTGGGTAGTAAGTTTTTTTTTTTTTTTTAGCTATGATTCTGGCAAAACCCTAATCTAACTTAACAGGTTGCTATTTGTTTTGATTAACGTAAAATCAAAAAAACCAAATGATTGGTTGGTCAAGGGTAGCGATTATAGATGTTGGTTAAGGTTGCTGGCCGTAAGTAATAGTTACGAACATTGCGTATTACAACCTGGGTTAGTAATAATAATATCTTGAGTATTAATGGATTGATCTCAGGCAGTGATAACAGAAATACATAATTGATACTAATCAACCACTTACGCAATTTCTGTTATCACTGCCTGGGATCAATCTACTAATACCCAAAATATTATAACCCTAACATAAGAGCTAATATGTGACTCTATGCAGAAGAGATAACCCCGTACCCTAAAACTTTTTGATGATGTAACAGGTTATTTGACAATGCAATTATCTGACAGACAGTTCATTAGACAATTAACTATATCATTTTTGAAACGGAAGGTTTATTTTAATACTACACAACAATGACAAATGGCATGTTTCAATAAGTTTAGGCTAGTAATTAGATGATAATCTGATGGGTTTTGAGATAATATAATGGGTTTGATGCATATTTAAATCCTTCTTGCATAATAATTAGAGATGTTATCCTACTCAGTTCGACCCTGTTTGGAACTGAATCCGAGTTTTGAAACGAGTTTGAATAGATCAGATGAGCAATGCCTGATTTGTAATAAACTTTAGGTTTTTAATTACTATCGTTATGACGAACAAAATCTGTTTTTTTTTAATTAATTAAAGTTAAGGCCAGACCAAGTTGATTATGTGTTTTACATTCCTCCCCTCTCAGAGCCTCCCCCTCTCCCTCATAGTAAAAAAAATTTTGATAAATATATATAGGGCTACGAGATATTTTGGAAAATTTTTATACAGTTACGGAACAATTCGGAAAAATTTTTTTTTTGAGAAAAAATTTTTTTAAATTTTACTATGTGAACCACCCCTCCTTCCTCCCTCTTCTGGAGGGGAGAGGGGGTAATGTAAAACACATAATCAACTTGGTTTGGCCTAATTTAATGTGGCATGATATACAGTGTTTGAAATTTCAGACTCAAATACTGTTCTCATGAGAACAATAAAATTATAATTGGTGTTCTCAAACTGTTGTTTTATGTTCACAAAAATCGATAAAAAAAAAAAACCAAAATATAATGATCGAAATAATTATAAATTAATCATATGTATTGGCAACTAGATATCTTTAAAATTGTATCTAATTTATCGAATTTAATATAACTACATCATATCAGAATTACATATATTATTATATTTCAATCAGTTATATTCAACTTCTGGCTTAGCAGACCCATGGGTTGATAGCACAGTGGTTAGCGCTCCTGGATCACAATCGCAAGGTCATGAGTTCGAGTTCCACTGGGTGACAAACAGCTCTGCCAGGATCACAATTGGCTAAGATCTTCAGAGAATTTTCTATTAAAAAGAAAGAACAAGATTCATACCAGTTGCAGTCTACTGGCATAGCCACTGGGCCGGGGACGACCAAATAAAGCGCAATCCATCAACAAATGACGTTAACATTGAGAAAAACTCAGCTTAAAGATTAATTGAATCAAGGATATTAGATATAAAAGGATGATCTGGCTTGTGGGTCATGTGAAGTTAGAGAACTGCGGATCTAGAGAACATAGGTCTTACGCTGCAGCACTAGGAACCTGGGACATCATATGACAGACTTAATAGAACATGAGCTATCTCGCAAGTATGGTGATGAATGCAGAGGCCTTCTGGCCATCTGTTGATTTCTGCAAAATGATAACTCTGGCTTTTAAGAGATGTGAGAGAAATCCGAAGGTGTCTAAGGACCTTCAGGATGCAGTGGGAGGAAAAAAAAAAAAAAATTCTGGCTTAGCATTATAATGCTATATAGCCATTTACTATATATTTACGAGAACACAATTATTATTTTACTGTTCTCAAAAATTTTTAATAGTAAACAGTAAAAAAATTTAGGCTGTGTACAAATCTATAATAGTGTTTTCATGAGAACTCTGAGAATACTAATTTCAAACATTGATGATATGATGACAATTAGTTTTTTTTTAAATATAAATAAGTGACTTTCTTTTTTTTTTTTTTTTTTACTTAATTTCACTATTCAATGGGCAAAAACAATATGTTTAAAGAACTTATTAATTCAACTGAATCTACCTTTTCAAGTTCGATGCCTTAAAATGCACTTGAATCTGAAAATAAACTATCTTTTAAAGCAATTAAGAAGGGACTCTTTCTGGAATGAACTTATTAAAATTGCTGATAAACAACATTGCAAATTTTGCAATAAACTTTATTCAGGGTATTTTATTTTATTTTTTTTATTAGCCTTTTTGATATGGGGGTTTTTATTCAAGTATTGTTGAGTAGAAGGCCTGTAGCTGAAGCCTCAAAAGGACCTCCTTTACATTAGAGAGTACAACTAGTCATGCATGCAACTTTTGGTTACTTATTTAAATAGGCTGCATATCAGTATTATATCATAGGGATGACACAAGATGCTATACCTATAATCTGACTAGAGGATTACCTATTTAAACTCTCTGTAATGCAGCTCTACCTGTGTTACTAGAACATTTCTGTTATATCTGTTAGTCAAGAAGTTCTGGATGTTTGTATAACTTTAAACCTATTTTATCTTCAGGGCATCATTGCTAGAGCTTTTTATATTTACAATCTGGCTAATCTAGACTTTAGTAACTTATGCTGAGTTCGAAAACAAGTATAAAATTACCTATTTCTACCTTTGTAAAGTTTATCTAAACTTCAGTATTTATTTTACAGACTATCTATTATACCTCTAGTTTTCTCCAAACTTCTAATTTAGATAGCCTGGAAGGGTGGTTTTTTTCTCTAATTATCTGACAACCTGGTTGGTGTGATGCTTTTGCCAAACATCTTAGTTCTGTTTAGTTTTTCAGTTTTCCAGATGATGATTTTTTATATAGTATTATCAAAAGTTTGTGCTATCTTTCTATTT